ATATGTGTCAGGAAAGAGGTTTCTGGATAACTTTTTTATCTTTGTAGGGAAGTTGTGAGAAGGTAGAGACCATCTAGTAGACTGCAACAACAGGAGATTCCTGGCCAAGGAAATGGCCTTGCTCGTGAGGGTAATTCATACAATGCTATTGTTTGAATGTTTATCCCCTTCAAAACTCATGTTGAAAGTGATTCCCTAATGTGACATTATTGAGAGGTGGACCTTTAAGAGGTGACTGGATCATAAGGGTTCTGCCCTCATGAATGGATTAATCCATTAAAGAATTAATGGATTTATGGATTAAGGGATTCCCATGAGAGTTGAAATGGTGGCTTTATAAGAAGAGAGAGAGAGACCAGAGCAAGTATGCTTGGCCCCCTCGCCATGCGATGCCCTGTGCATCAGCAAGGAGGCCCTGATCAGATGTGGCCCCTTTACCTTGGACTTCTCAGCCTCCATAACTGTAAGACATAAATTCCTTTTCTTTATAAGTTACCCAGTTTCAGGTATTGTTATAAGCAACAGAAAACAAACTAAGACAAATACCAATGGTGTTGACATCTGCTAGATCTTCTCAAACTTTAACATGCAAGGATTACTAGGATTTTGTTAACATGACAGTTTCTATTCAGTTTGGGCTAGAATTGAGGATTTTGCATGGTAAAAAAAAAAAAGAGCTAGGATTTGTGCAGTTCCCTTGAGTTCATTAAGATGTGCCTTGCTAACCTCTTGCTAAATAATTGAAAAGGAGAGAATAAGCCTCCAGGGCCATCCGGGTTTGCTTTTCTCCACTGCTGTAAGTAAAACCTAAAAATACTTAATATTCTGTTAGAGTTAGGGCAAGGGGAATGAACAGTCTGGAAAGAGAAGTCCTTTTTAGGTCAAAATATTTAGTAAAATTGCTGCCTCCAACAATTAGGAAGGCAGGAAATCTCCTTCCCCAGCTTGTAGCTAGTCAAAGTATCTGAAAAGAGCCAGCTTGTGTGTGTGGCTGTTTTTTGTTGCCTTGGGTAAGGTGTTGCAAGTCAAGTGTGAAGTCAAGTTAAAAAGGGAATAAAGTGGAAATTCTGAACCCTCACTAAGTTGAAAAAGCCAACTGTTTATGTATCTTGAAATAGCAGAAGAAAAGACTTGGCTTAGAGATTTTTCATAGCCGTTTAAGACTTCTTGGCGCACACGACCAACCAACCAAACAAACAAACAAAAACAACAGAAAATAAAAATAAGCTAAAGCCAAATCAAACTGATAGAGTTCTCTTCTCATTTAAGCCTACTGTTTCACATTTTTTCACAGCTGCCACCATTACAAAGAGGGCATTAAAAATGGGTTGAGCAAAGAAGCTAGGATTTAAGGCAAGTTTGCTAACTACTTCGAGAAATAACTTTGGGTGTGGTTACTGGCATCTGAAACTGTCTGAAAGCACGTAGAACTTATTGAATATTCAATGGAATTATTTAAGTTAAAAAAAGCAAGCACCCCAAAAGCCTGGCCTACAAAAGCCTTCAAGTGTTCAAGCACTAAGGCATTCTCAAAAAGGAAATACACTCAACATCCAGTTAACTTGTATTCAGAAGGTAAAGCTTGCACCCACACAACACGACAAACAATAGAAATCCTCTCAGAGAACCAAGGACTGACCAAGGAACTTATTCCAGTATCAGGGCAGTGAGTATCCATACTTCCTTCCCATGATTCTGCCATTGTTATGGACCAGTAACTGCTGTGTTTCCCATTCTTCCTTTGTCTGAGTTTTAACTGTGATTGGCCTGTTTCTGCTCCACTGTTGGTTTGTATTGGATGTATGGGCATAGGACACATCAGTTGTTTTACAGTGTATACATCTCTGGACTATAAAACACCACATCCCAATGTGATAGGTTTCTGCATCACCAGATATCCTGAATTTTTAGCTGATGTAGAAATTGAATGGGAAATTGAGCTTTCTTCCCTAGGGAAGGAGGAAGTAGGCTCTACTGTGAGAAGAAGCTATATTATTCAGGTTCTCCAGAGAGACAGAACCAATAGGAGATATATATATATATATATATATACACACACACACACACACACATAAAAAAAATATGATATGAGAGGGGAATTATTAGGTGAATTGGATCATGTGATATGTGATTGTGGGGGCTGAGAAGTCCCACATCAAGCAGTCTGCAAGTCAGAGACTGTGGGATGCTGGCAGCATGGCTTAATCCAAGTCCGAAGGCTTGAGAACCCAGGGTGCTGCTGGTATGAGTCCTGGAGTCCAAGGCCAGGAGAAGAAGTGTGTTTCTCAGCTTTAGGACAGAGACCAACTCACCTCTTCTCTGTTTTTGTTTTCTCTGGGCCCAGCTAACTGGATGGTGCCTGCCCACACTGAGGGCAGATCTTCCTCACTTAGTCCACTCAGACTCACATGCCAATCTCCTCTGGAAACACCCTCACAGACACACACTAATATAATGCTGTAACAGTTAGTTTTCTTGGTATTCCTTAATCCACTCAAGTTGATACCTAAAATTACCATCAGAGGACATGTGGATATTCAGGTGGTCAGAGGGACATACTGTAGTGGAGACTGCTGATTGTCCCTCTAAACTTATTCTTTCGTATTTCCGGGCACAAGGCTGCCCAACTGGAAACTAAATTTCTAGTCTCATTGGTGGTCATATGATTAAGTTCTTGTTAATGGAACATTATCTGAATTGATGTGGGCAATCTCTACCTTACTTTCTGATATGGTTTGGCTCTGTACCCCCACTCAAATCTCATGTTGAATTGTAATCCCCAATGTTGGGCAAGGGACCTGGTAGGAGGTGATTGGATCATGCAGGCAGATTTCCATCTTGTGTTCTGATAATAGTGAGTGAGTTCTCACGAGATGTGGTTGTTTGAAAGTCTGTAGCACCTCCCCCTTTGTGTTCTCTCTCTCTCCTGTCATCACGTGTTGACATACTTGCTTCCCCTTTACCCTTCCACATGATTATAAGTTTCCTCAGGCTTCCCCAGCCATGCCTCCTGTAAGGCCGTGGAACTATGAGTCATTTAAACCTCTTTTCTTTATAAATTACCCAGTCTCAGGGAGTTCTTTATAGCAATGTGAGAGCAGACTAATATACATTCTTTTGTTATTTATTTTATTTTTTTTGAGATGGAGTTTCACTCTGCCACCCAGCTGGAGTACAGTGGCACGATCTCGGCTCACTGCCTCCTGTGTTCAAGTGATTCTCCTGCCTCAGCCTCCCAAGTAGCTGGGACTACAGGCACCCGCCACCATGCCTGGTTATTTTTTTGTGTTTTTAATAATAGAGACAGAGTTTCACCATGTTGACCAGGCTGGTCTCGAACTCCTGACTTCAGGTGATCTGCCGGCCTTGGCCTCCTAAAGTGGTAGGATTACAGGCTTGAGCCACCACGCCTGCCTGAGAACAGACTAATACACATTCTTAAAAGAGATTCCTTCTTTAGGTATTCTTCTCTTTCTCTTTCCCATTAGAGGGAATATGCCATTTATCACACATCAAGATGGCAAAACTCCAAAAGTTTGACAGACTTTGTAGGCAAGCCTGTAGGAAACTGTACCCCTATATATTTCTGGTAGGAAGGCAAAATGATACCATTCCTACAAAGTACAATTTGGCAGGATCTACCAAGATTGTATTCTATCCTTTGCCTCATTTCTGGTAATGTTTTCTACCTGTACATATATAATGTATGTAAAGGTTATTCATCGCAGCATTGATTAAAAATAACTTGTGTCCTATAAGGATTAAATAAACTAAGACATACCCTTGCTATGTAATATCTTCTAGCTCTAAAAAGAGTGATTTTGAAAGACTGGACAGCTGGTAAGATGTCCAGCTGTCTTAGTCTGTTTTCTGTTGCTTATACCAGAATACCTGAAACTGGGTAATTTATAAAGAAAAGGAATTTATATCTTACAGTTATGAAGGCCAAGAAGTCTAAAGTCAAGCGACCACATCTAGTGAGACCCTTCTTGCTGGTCAGGACTTGCTAGAGTTCAGAAGCAGCACAGGGTATCACATGGCAAGGGAGTGACCTTCCTGACATGCTAGCTCAGGTCTCTTCCTCTTCTAATAAAGCCACATGTTCTCTCCCATGATAACCCATTAATCCACGAATGGATCAATTCCTCAGGGTTTTGTCCTCATGATCCAATCACCTATTTAAGACCCACTTCTAAATGTTGCCACATTAAAGATTAAGTTTCAACATGAGTTGTTTGTTTTCTTTTTCATTTAATTTTAATTTTTATTTTTTGAGATGGAGTCTTGCCTTTTTTTTTTTTTTTTGAGACGGAGTTTCGCCCTTGTTGCCCAGGCTGGAGTGCAATGGTGCAGTCTTGGCTCAATGCGACCTTCGCCTCCCAGGTTCAAGTGATTCTCCTGCCTCAGTCTCCTGAGTAACTGGAATTACAGGCATGTGCCACTACGCCTGGCTAATTTTTGTATTTTTAGTTGAGACGGGGTTTCTCCATGTTGTTCAGGCTGGTCTCGAACTCCCAACCTCAGATGATCCGTCCGCCTCGGCCTCCCAAAGTGCTGGGATTACAGACGTGAGCCACGGCACCCAGTCCTCAACTTGCGTTTTGGGGAAGACAATTATTTCAAACCATAGTACCAGGAAAAGTGCAAAAAACAAAACAAAACAAAACAAAACAAAACAACAACAACAACAAAAAACAAAGCAGAACAATTATGTGGTGTTACTTTTTGTGAAAGGAGAGGTAAAATTTTATATTTATTAATATTTGCTTGTATTTGCAGAAATTGCATAAGAATACATGAGTATTGAATATCATATAAACGCAGGCGACCATATAATCTTCCATTGAAATGCAACCGTTTCTAGAATGAAAGGGGGGATGTTATTTAATTAAATTAATTAATTAATTTATTTAGAGACGGAGTCTTGCTCTATCGCCCAGGCAGGAGCGCAGTGGCGCAATCTCGGGTCACTGCAAGTTCCGCCTCCCGGGTTTTACGCCATTCTACAGCCTCAGCCTCCCGAGTAGCTGGGGCTACAGGCGTGCACCACCTACGCCCAGCTAATTTATTTGTATTTTTAGTAGACGGGGTTTCACCGTGTTTAGCCAGGATGGTCTCGATCTCCTGACCTCGTGATCCGCCCGCCTCGGCCTCCGCCTCGGCCTCCCAAAGTGCTGGGATTACAGGCGTAAGCCACCGCGCCCGGCCGCAAGGGGGGATGTTATTAATCACTACTCCAGGACGACAGAGGGAAAATGGCCTTGTACTGGACAAACTGGAATATCTGATCAACCTTTATAAAGTGCATGGAGTGGGAGGAGGAATGGGGACTTTTTAATTGTATTTCTAAAAAGTATCGTCTGTGGTGAATCAGAAACAAAACTCGTTCTTTACCACAGGCAGTTTAAGCGCTGCCTGAAAGATCTAAGGACGGTAAACCACAGACATGAGACATGGAACTTTGCGAAAACGCAGTCGTTTTATGTACCGGGTACTTATTGGAGTTACACTAGAGACTCACTCCTGGAGTTCATCAGCCAATCCAAAGTCCGAGCGTGAGAGCCAGAGACTGTAGGAGAGGGCTGGGCAGGCCTCAGACCTGAGGAGTGGAGCCCCGCATCACTCAACCCTGAGGGCGGAGCTAGCCCAGGCTCCCACACCCGACGCTCTGGCCCACACAGACGGTACTCTGTAGCATCTCAGGTTCCCTCTGGCTGCACTCTGGAGGACCACACTCGTTTTCTTTTTGGCTGCCAGAGGCCCCGCATCCACCGCTGAGCTGGGAGAAAGATGGCGGCAGCCGTGCGACAGGATTTGGCCCAGCTCATGAATTCGAGCGGCTCTCATAAAGATCTGGCTGGCAAGTGAGTATTTCCCAGCAACGCGGGAGTACAGAGGTGGGGAAAGAAAGCCACAGCCTTAATCTCCTTAGGTTGGCCACGACTCTTGGGCGTGAAGCTAGGAACCGGCCTGACGACCAAGGGGGCGGGCCTGAGGTCGGCTAGGGAGGCAAATGTTGGGAGAAGCAGAGAGCTGGAGGGGACCTTGTGCAGGGGCCTTCGAGGCCATAGACTTGGGATGACTGTCAACTTGTTCAGTTATTGATAGAATCTCTCTGGTCCCTTAGGATTTTGGAAGAGCGGTCTGACAGACGACTGCTACCCTGGCCTTAGTAGCCTTCCCTGGTACCTCTTCCTATCGCTGGCCGGCCTCACACCGAATCTGGCCTCTCGTTGGACCTTCCTCCTCCTTTTTTTGATTCAGAGAAATGTATATTCTGGGGCCTTGATGCTGTGTTTTTCGGGGAGATGGCTTCTTGGGGCTGGCTGAGACTGAGGAGGTATGGCCGCTGTCATGTCGTCCAGACCACTCAGACTGTCTTCTGTGGGTCCTTGTGTTTCGGGTATTTTCTCCGCCACCAACTCTGAAGGCACATAGGCGGAATGTGCTCATATCACGGATCAGGTTGTCTAGAGTAGTGATGTTTGCAGGAATCTGAATTTTGTCGAAATTCATATAGCATGCTTAGGTTCACTCCAAGTTAAAATGTGTGACGTGCCTGTTGTGCAAGCAGTTGTTCAACAGTATTAAGCATAGGTAGGTAGACGTATATTGTTCATTTTCTCTTTGTAGATGTCACAGCACTGATCTTTTGTAATGAACTTAAAGTATGCCTCTCTAGGCCGGGTGCAGAGAGGCTGAGGTGGGAGGATCACTTGAGGCCGGGAGTTCTAGACTAGCCTGGGCAACATAGTGAGACCCCCTTCTCCATAAATAAATAAATAAGTAAATAAAGTATGCCTCTCAAGTTGATCTTAATGTTTACATCCTGACAGCTGAAATCACTTTATGTATGTTAATGGGATACACCTGCTCTAACCTGGTTATCGAAATTCTGACTGTTTTAAGTAGACTAGGCTGCCTTTTCTCTGGTGGTAAATGTAATCTACTTTTATCAGTGGGAAATTCAGCCGTATATTTTGGGCGTAACTACTTTGTGCTGCATTTTCCCATTCAGGAAAATGAAGATAATAATAGGACATATTCTTGTCTGAGATTATCTGAAGACAAGATGAGTCTCTGTGTGCATATATACTTACCACACTTATATCACCTGGAACAGTACCTGACATATAGAAAGTGCCGCAAGATTGTTGTTACTATCACTAAGCTGTCAGTAATATATATTCACTTATTGTGTGGGTTGGAAATAAATATGTCTTCATGGCTTAATCCTTTTTGCTTGTAATTTTGTAGATATGGATGAAAGTAAAAGCAGCTTATATTTTTTCCCCCATGTTTCATTTACTTTTTATTTTGTGAAAGAAAAATAAGTGCATTAGTTATCAGAAGAAATAGAGCTTTTCATGTATTTGCAGAGTTCTGAAACTTAAGTATTTACTTTTTCAGGTCTGAATTGGAGATAAACAATAGTATTTATAGGGTACTTCAGTTATCTGTTGCTTTGTAACCAAAAACTTACCAGTGTAAAACAACTGTGATTTCTCAGGATTCTATGGATTGACTGGACAGCTCTTCTGGTCTTCTCTGGGCTCACTCATGCAGATATAGTCAGCTGGCAACTCACCTGGGGCTGGACTCACATGCATATCTTGCTCTCGGCAGGATCTGTCTCTCTCTGCACATAGTCTCTCATTCATTAGTTTAGCTTGGGCTTTCTTAGGTGGCTATGAGAGGGGAAGTCACAAGACCTCTTAAGGATAGCCTAGAAAGTCTTACATCAATTCTCTAGTACTGGTAAAAGTAAATCAGAAGACCAGCCCAGATTCAAGGGGAGGGGAAATGGAGCCTACTACTGCCTCTTTAGTGGCAAAGTTACATTGCAAAGGAGCCTGGACAGAGGGAGACATGATTCATTGGAAGCCATTACTGTAGCAATCTACCACATGGTGTTGTGAAGATTAAATGAAATAATGTGCTTGATAACTGATAGCCAGTGCTGTGTTAGCCAGCAACTCCTTCAGAGCTGCTTTCTGAGAAAAGTCTTGGGCTTGCTTGCAGTTCCTATCTGAGCAAGAAAGTATCAGAATATTTATCCTTATAACAACATCAGTTCTACCAGCTACATGCTTTAAGAGAAATACCCTTGAAATATATCAGTGTTTTTTTTTTTAATGTATTTTTTCTTGTATGTACTTTTAATGAAGGTTTTTGGGGATTTTTTAGGAGCTAAGAAACAAAGGATTCCATATTAAAGAATAATGGAGTACATTGTTTCTAAAACATCAATACTGTGTGTTCCTAGCAATTGGGATATCTATAACAACAGTTGCTCAATACATGTGGTTGAATTAATGAATAGCTAGAAAGGGGCAAAGCTTGTATTTGAACCCAGGTTCATCACTCTAAAAAGCTCATTTTAAACCTACCAGACTATGCTCGTTTTCTTGTTAAAAACTCAATTAGAAATGCTTTCCCATAACTGTGGATTAACACAGCTGTCTAAAGTTTATGTAAGAAATTAGTCAGATGAAAAGCATTTTCCTCCATTTTGTAGGCTGTTTTTGTGCATATTATGTGTTGTGTTTATTATCTCACATAAAGATTTAGAATAGGAGAGCCACAATGGAGGATAGACTATATTGAGGAGAGACCTCAAAGGCCCCTTCTAACTCAGATTCTGATTCTCTATTTGTTGTCCCAAACACAACCATTTTAGTGGTTTTCATCTCTAGAGTGAAAGTTGATAACATGTAGAGTTTACTGTGCGAAGCACAACATTACTTACATTTAAAAATCCTTAATAAGTAGGAGTAAATGATATTATTTACATTATAGTAAGAGAAGACCAAAGTACAGAGTTAAAATACCTTTCTGAGGTCACGCAGCTAGTGGTGAAGCTAGAAGACAGTCCATGTCTGCTTGCCTACGAGCCCTTAACTCTAAACAAACACATCTACCTTTTTGGCCTTATTTTCACCAAAAAAAATTGACCACACTTCAGATAGTGATTATTTTTGCCTAGAATGCCTGCCTTCCTACTGTTATTAAATTGAAATGTTTAGATTTTAAAGATCAACCCCATCCAATTATTTATGTCTCCTAAAAATTATATTAGCACTTACCTATTTTTTCTGTTTGTTTGTTTTGTTTTGTTTTGAGACGGAGTTTCATTCTTGTCACCTAGGCTGGAGTGCAGTGGCATGATCTTGGCTCACTGTAACCTCTGCCTCCTGGGTTCAAAAATTCTCCTGCCTCAGCCTCCCAAGTAGCTGGGACTACAGGTGCACGCCACCACACTTGGCTAATTTTTTTGTGTTTTTAGTGGAAACAGGGTTCACCATGTTGGCCAGGATGGTCTCAGTCTCTTGACCTTGTGATCCGCCTGCCTCGGCCTCCTAAAGTGCTGGGATTACAGGCGTGAGCCACTGCGCCCGGCCAGCACTTACCTGTTTTTAAGATTTTGTCTTTAATTTTGTTTAGCTTCATTATGATATGTCTGTGGATTTGTTTTTACTTTTCTATGTCAGTTACCCTTTGCCGTGAAATAAACCCCAAAACTTAGGGCTTAAAACAACAGTCACTTATTTAGCTCGTAATTCTGTAGGTTGGTAGTTTGGATTGGGCCCAGCTGTATGGTTCTTTTCTGCTCCACATGGTCTTGGTTCCACTGGGCTCCCATGTGGGTCTGTAGTTAGCTGCCGGCTGGGCCAGGTGGGCAACTCCACTTCTGTGGATTGGCTGGCTTGTTGGCTGGGGCAATATAGTTGACTGGGCTACATATCTCATTAGCCAGTAAGTTAACCTGGGCCTGTTCATGTGACAGCAGCAGGATTCCAAAAGACAAACACATACAAGGCCTCTTGAGGTCTAGGCTCAGAACTAGCACTTCATTTCTACCACGTTCTATTGGTCAACTCCAGATTCAAGGGGTAGGGAAATAAAGTCTACCTTTTGATATGAAGAGCTACAAAGTTATATTGTAAAGGGACATGGGTACTGGGAGTGAAATTATTGTGGCCGTTTTTTATCCTGGTCCAGCTTCGCTGGGTTTCCTGAATCAATGGATTAAAAGGTTTCATCAGTCTTGAGATGTCTTCAGTTATATCTCTTTATTTTATTTTAGAAACAGGGTTGCCCTGTCTCTGTTGCCCTGGCTTGAGTGCGATAGAGAGATCACAGCTCACTGCAGCCTTAACATGCTTGGCTCAAGCAATCTTCTTGCTTTAGCGTCCTGAGTAGCTGGGGCTATAGGCACATGACACCATGCCTAATTTAAAAACATGTTTTTTTTTTTTTTTTGGTGGAGATGGGGTCTCCCTATGTTGCCCAGGCAGGTCTCGAACTCCTGGGCTCAAGGGATTCTCCTGCCTCGGCCTACAAAAGTGTTGGGATTACAGGTGTGGGCTACTCTGCTTGGCCTGTATCTCTTTAAATGTTGCCCCTGCCCCATTCTGTTTCTCCTCTAGGCTCCAGTGAAATCCCTGTCAGGCCCACTGACTATAACCTCTAGCCATCTTACTCTGTCTTTCATTTTTTATTTTTTATTTATTTTTATTTATTTATTTTTTGAGAGAGAGTCTCGCTCTGTCACCCAGGCTGGAGTGCAGTGGCGTGATCTCAGTTCACTGCAAGCTCTGCCTCCCGGGTTCATGCCATTCTCCTGCCTCAGCCTCCTGAGTAGCTGGGACTACAGGTGCCTGCCACCACGCCCGGATGGGGTCTCCCTATGTTGCCCAGGCAGGTCTCGAACTCCTGGGCTCAAGGGATTCTCCTGCCTCGGCCTACAAAAGTGTTGGGATTACAGGTGTGGGCTACTCTGCTTGGCCTGTATCTCTTTAAATGTTGCCCCTGCCCCATTCTGTTTCTCCACTAGGCTCCAGTGAAATCCCTGTCAGGCCCA